TTTTATTCCAGAAGGTGCTGCACAGAAATAAAGCCAGCGACAAAAATCAAGCCAGAAATTACATTTTAAAACTTTTTTTCCCAGAATTTTTTTACCTGTGCCACCTCAGATTTCTGTGTCAAAACATTCAGATATCCACCAGCCTGTCTCATGTTCCTCATCCTGTTTGGTTTACTTGCTGACATTTTCTGGGTCCCCCCTTGCCTGGGGTCTTGCCCTGTTTTTTTGCAGAGTGCATAAATGTACATGAGGCTGTGCCACTTTGCCCATGTCTGCTGATGCTGTATTAGTCCAGCCTTTAGCTTGAATATGTTTTTACTAATACAGCATGAAGGTTTTAAACTTTTTACAAAATCCTGCTTGACTATTGGGCGAGTGTGATGCTTACTCTTAACCCCTGAGCCATAAATATCTAAAATTAAAGAGCCAGTTCTGACATAATTCCAGCTGTTGTGACATTATTCAATATCCCAGGGTATTTGGAAATTCCCCTTAAAATCCAGAGCAGGTCTAAGGACACTCGCATGTCTTGCAATGGAGATAAGTCAAAGCATCAGCATTTTGTCATTGTATTCAGTCCGTCTTTATCAATAAAATTCCCCTAAGATTACTGTATATAGGTCTGTCAACTATTATGGTATAGCTTCCCAGTGTCCATCATTTAACAGAACTGTCCCATTGTTGGAACCAAATCATTCTGTCCCTCTTTCCTCCTGAGTTGTTTCCATTTTTTGGCCTGATGTATAGTACTTTGTAGAAAAATATATATATTATACTACACTATCTTCGCATCCAACTTCTAAATGCTGTATTTGTTATTATGAAAGGCCAGAATAAAAGAAAATGTAGTAGTGAAAACTTTGTTATTTTTGACCCTAGGCAAAAATGAGCACTTAGCGCTTGCAAGGTAGCCCCACTGCAAGGGTTAATAAAACCTTTTACCCAGAATTGTTCTTTAAAGCCCAACTCCAAGTTACATTTCACCCCACGCTCACCCCTCTCTCCCACACCCCACTATCTGATGCAAGACTCTTCTACAACTGGGATCACTCCAAAAGGACTAGCATTATTTAGGATGATGTGATCAATTTGTTATCTGATAGGGACTGTCATTATGTTGTATGGGTGTCTCTGTTTAATGTATTTCAATGTAAACACCCGGCTGTCGCAGATGGGCATTCTTTAAGATAACGTGATCAAGCTCTTAACTGACTGTGGGGTATAAATTGTGTGCATTTTGTTCAATAAAGCAGTTCATGTTTATGCTCCGAAATCAGTGTTGTCTGATTCTTGGGGTAAACATTTGCTATATTCAATATCTTCTGGTTCCAGAGTGGAGGAAGCTGGATTCTGATTGAGGTACCCAGTCTGGGTACAGGCCGTCCATCACATCTACCATTTGCCGGCAGCCAGGGGATGCCTCACCTGCGTTTTTCCATCCTCTCCCTGCACTGTCTAGGTACAGGAGGCAATATCACTGGAGATGTGCCTGCGGGCAGCAACTGGATGCAAAAAAAGGTCACTATCTAAAAGCCCTTTTTTACTTACCTAGAGTACGGCACAGAGTCTTCTACTCTTCTGTTTACTTCCTGCTTGGGTCTTTCTTTGGGTGTCAACATCAACACCCCCATGATGTGGACACTTTTTATTGGATGTTCATTGGCCGGGGTCCTCTCAGCATCCAGAAGAGGACCGATAACAGAGGAAGGGAGTGAAGGGGACTGGCAGTCTCAGACGCCATCATACCACTGGATTTGTGATCCTCCCACCCAGAAATGTTACTGTAATGGGGCTTTATCAAATCCTTTTTTGAATATAAATTCTTGTAACCCAGAAAGGGGATGAGGTGTCACTCATCTAGAAAGTTAAAATGACACTAAATCTTACGCTGTCCTTCCTTCTGGAGGGTGGCTATTTTTGTTCTTCATGGTCCCTGTGTGTGTTGTAAAGTAGCCCCCGCTCCAAGCTTCCTCCCGTGATGGTCTCACGGCAAATAAATAAACTAAATGTGAGCTTGTAGTCCATCGTAGGAGTGAGCTTGGAGTGGTGACTACTTTACAACACATACAGGGACGAGGGGGAACAAAAGTAGCCACCCTCCAGAAGGAAGGACAGTGTCAGCACCAATTCAGAGATGATTTGAGGATCTACAGATACAAAAATGTATCTTATTTGTGATACACAAATAAGATACATTTTTGTTGATAGTTAAGGTACCTATATGCATTTTTTAAGGTTAAACTCCTGAGTTTAGTGTCACTTTAATACGTATGGTATAAAGACAGTGATAATTTGTTTGCTTCACACAGTAACCATTCTTCTGATTCTATACTGCTTGTTACTTCTCCACACAGTGATATTAAGCACATTTTACCCTAAATAAACAAAGACTGTTTCAACTGCTAAAGCAAGGGCAAAATGATGATGTCATAATATTTGATATAGGGATCAAGACGGAACACTGTTTATAATCACATACTCAGCTAAGGGCATCTATGATTAGATCAACCTGCAATTTCTTCATTCAGGCACTAGCAAGAGCAAACTAACCTTTATGCTGATATATTGTGTGATGTCCTAATAAACACATTCTCTTGTAATGCATAAACACAACAACAATTATTCCTGATGAGTGAATCCAGCCTTGACATCCAGCCCAGCAGCTGTCATTTACAGGGATCTGTTAGTGGCTCTTACATAAAAAATGTTAACACATCCATACAGAAACAGTGCCTAGAGCCCTATTAAAGGGAAAGTAAAGTGTATTTTCAGTGACTATATATTTTGTGTTATAACTGTAACGTTTTTCCTTAGGGGCAGTTCACACCAATCGCGGTGCGTTCCAGAGCGGTAGCTGCTGGAACACACAGCAATTGCACACTAAACATCTCCCTTCGTTCTGGGGTGGGAGAGAGCATGGCGGTGCATTGAAGTCAATGGCAACGCAGCCATGCCCCCCGCCCGCAGTGCGATCGGACGCGTGGCAAAACATTGCCAGCTTTCCAGGCCACTGTGTACGCAAAAAACAGAGCATGCAGCATTTTTTTGCATTCGGAGTGGCCTGGAACGCAGGCAATGTCTTGCCACTCGTCCGATCGGACTGCGGATGAAGGGCGTGGCTGTGGTGCTATTAACTGCAATGCAGTTAAGAGCTACCACTCTGGAACGCATCGCAATCAGTGTGAACTGGCCCTTAAAGTAATATTTTATATAATGTTTACAGAGTTTTGCATGCTCATGTGTCTGTAATTAATATAGAGATGTGTAGCTAAGCCACTACAGGGAGCTAACACTCATATTGTAATCATTCTACATACTTTATTAGGGTGTATTTAGACCTAAGCACATATAATGCCCTTTACCAGTCTTTAGAGATGGTGCCTAATATATTTTTATGTAGTCAAGAAATGTCACCAGCACACCAAACCGATCATTACAGCAAATAAGCATCCATTTATTGACATATGCTGTCTCTCATTTGCAATTGAGAGACAGCATATGTCAATAAACGGAGACTTATCGGCTCCAATGGTGTGATGGTGACATTTCTTGGCTATCTGCATGTTGGCGGCGCCATCCGCAGTCATTTCAAACACACGCTTGTGTATTCATATGGGAATCCCGGTAAGGAGTGCAGCAAGGATTTTCTCTCCTTTAATCTATTTTTAAGTCTTTTTTGGGATTCTGCCAATAACACACCTCCTATTTTAGGACCCATTCACACCATCCAGTGCATTCATCTCACAGGTCCATGACATGAATGCACTGGACGGCTTAATCAAACCCTCCCCGTGTTTCCGGGCGGGATGGGGGCATTGCAGTGCCATTCATTTCAAAGGCACCACAGGCACGGCTCCCACATGCAGTGTGATCACCTGCACTGACACATGGTACCACAATGACCTGCCCATGCTTTATTTTTTGCAATCGCACTGCACTGGGATGCAGGGCATTGTGGTACCACGCGTTCTGTTGCGGATGATCGCACTTCGGGTGGGAGGTGTGTCTGTGGTTCCATGAAATGAATGGCACCACCATGTCGCCTTCCGCCCCAGAATGCGGGGAGGGCTTGATTAAGTGGTCCAGTGCATTCATGTCATGGAACTGTGAGATCAATGCACTGGATGGTGTGAACAGGCCCCCGGGGTGACAGTGGTCACTGTTCTATATCTATGAAGAAGCAGCATGGTCCACCCAATGTGGACTACAGAAATCTGTCCTTCCTTCTAGAGGGGGGCTACTTTTGTTCCCCATGGTCTCTGTGTGTGTAGTAAAGTAGCCACCACTCCAACCTCGCTCCCGTGATGGACTACAATCTCATGTTTAGATTACAATATTGCATTAAAATTATAGTCTATCACAGAAGCGAGTTTGGAGCGGTGGCTACCTTACAGCACACGCAGGGACCATGGGGAACAAAAGTAGCCACCCTCCAGAAGGAAGGACAGTGTCAGCACCAATTCAGAGATGATTTGAGGATCTACAGCCGAGTGATACACAAATAAAATACATTTTTGTTCATAGTTAAGGTACTTGAATGCATTTTTTTAAAATTTAACTCCAGAGTTTAGTGTCACTTTACCTCCATAAATGACATCAGTGGCTACCCAACCAAGCTTTCAGAATAAAACATTATCAATAGACCTAGCAGCTAACAAATACAGGCTTGTCTGTACTATGTTTCCAATTTGATACAATGGTATCAATTCCATTTTATTGGCCAGAGCTAGGAAGACATTAGCCAAGTGGCCTACCTATTACACAACTTGATTGCAAGTCAGTCTGGAAAACTGGCACTGCATGTATATGCCACTGCCAGACAATGAATGTGCATCACATCTTGTATAATGAATAAAAATGAATAGAAAACTAGACTGAACAATACTGTTAACAATAACAAGGCAAGCCATAAAGTCATCATTAATTATTAAATATGCACAAAGTAGACTGTACTCAGTGAATGAACATGATACATCTTTACACTTTGCTAACTTACTTGCCTTGCTTTGGATGCCCGCTTCAAGTCCTCTGATCTGCCAGCCCTTTCCGCCATGTAGGGGGGTATTTTGTATGATATGGACAGTATCCACTGAAGCCTGCAGTAAAAACTGTCAGAGTTCAAAACTCCTGATGATGCAGTTGCTATGAAACTGTATTCTTTCTTATCTCCTGGTCCTGGTCTATAAGTGAGCCTCTTGCATAGTGGCTGCCCCAGCTATCCCTGCCTCTGTCTCCTTATAGCTGCATCTATCTATCTGCTTGTCTCATGTCCCTCTGCCGCTCTGTCTGGCTCACTTGCTAATTTTCTCTGGGTTCCCCCTTGCCTGAGCACTCGCTGCTGTTTTCCACCCACATACACATTGCAATAAGACTCTGTATGTCAGAGTCTGTGTAGGTGGACTGGGGGAAGGGACGAATCAAAAGCATCTATCTTACAAATGCAGAGCAAAAACTGACCATGCTATATTCATTTCTGCTTTACAACGAACAAGACATAATGGGTTTGTCTGTAAAATGCAGTCATAGAAACTAATATGATTCCTATATAAAATTCTGAATAGAAGAATAGGTATAATATTGGTGTCCTATGTGGGTGACCTGAGAATTGATGGCGATTTATATTAGATTCTAGTAATCGATTATTAAATCTAAAACATTACATTCCTGGGGGGCAAGTTACATCATAACAGGTAACCTCATTTACCTGTGCATTGCTGTGCATAACACTGCAATTTAGCTTTTTGTATTATTTCTGGCTGCTTATACTGCTGTCATTTTCTTATATTGCATTATAATATATATTTTTTTCAAATACGATGGAGGGAATTTTTATAGGAAAATCTTCCTTTAGAGCTACTGAATCACAAAAACCACTCTAGGTCCAAATAATGAAGGATGACACTCATCTCGCTGTCACATACCAAGGGGGAGCATGCATAGCAGTGTGCAGGTACCATCCATCAGGCTATGATCATATCAATCCATGACACAAAGTAATGACAATGTCAGTGCCGGATAGCTTACTGCACACAGTCATGAACTGTCGTATCCAGGAGATCAGTTACCTGCTAAATAAATCAGGTATGACTGTTTACAGCTGGGACAGCTTCTCACTGGAATCAGTAGGTTGTTTAGACGTCGCCCATTCGTGGCCAGTGAGTCCACGGGTCAGAACAGTGGCTGGGTGTCACCTGGTACACACGTCATTACGTGTACACATGGCGCACATATTAACGTTACGTGCACTTCACTGCCAGTGGCCATCTTGGTGATGGATGCCAGCAAAGAGAGAAGGGGGTGCTCTTCTGGTGGAGTAAGGTATGCCGCCGTGTCCCCTCCTTTCCTGTGCAGCTGTTGAGCTCTCAGTCCATGACTGCATGCCTGACTTTTCAGAGGGGGTGACACCAAAATGACTTCGAGTCACTGCGAGACTTTTCAGAGGGGGCGACCCCTCTGATGGTGCCACCCAGTGTGGGATCCCCCCCTCCCCCCGCACCACCCCTTGTGACACCACGGGGTCGGAGAAAATTGTACCTTTGAGTGAAAGCCTCTGCCCCAAGAGTAGGCAACCTTGGCACTCCAGCTGTTGTAGAGCTACATGTCCCCTAGGCATTGCTAAAAGGCAGAGGCATGATGGGATTTGTAGTTTTGCAGTGCTTTTCAGAGGGCCCGTTGTTTAGGAGGAGATACTGCCGTCTACTGAATGCAGGTTTTTTACTTTTAAACCCAATAGGATTTTCTATTGAAATGCTGCGATGCAACTGCATACCTACACAGTTGCAGCACTGTCCCATCCATTCCAGTTGTCACATTTGAAAAGCAGCACTGCTTGTCAAAAGTGACATGCTGTATATTTTTGCCAAGCCGTGAAGCATCGCCAATGCTACAATGTGTACAGCACTACCATTGACTGCAGCGGGCAGCTGGCGGGTAGTAAAACGGCATGCTTGATGTTCAGTTTTACCGTCTCCCAGCTGCCTGCTGCATGTGAACTAGGCCTAAGAGATGCCATTTCTCAGTGGAGAATTGTAGTGCATGCCCAATTAATGAGACAGCAGTGCCGGAACTCAGCAAGGAGTGACAGTGCATGCACAGTGGATGAGACTGAGTGGTGCCAGAACTTTGTAAAGAATTGCATAGGTTCTAGATACGAATGATATCCAAGGGAGATTGTCTATTTGACTGGTGTTGTTGGCCCAGTGCAGGGAATGGAGTCATGTTCAGAGGAGTGGCGGGATAACCAGGTAGTTTCTCTATATAAAGTAAGAAAGATCAGCATAATGTCGATGTGCATGTGAGGCGGAGTGGTGTTTGTCATTTTTGCCTGGAGTTCCTCTTTAACTTCTTCACTACAAGCAAGACTTATAAGTAGAGGTGCACCGAAATGGACATTTCTAAACACTCAGCGATCACTGATCCCTGAGTGTTTGTACCTCACTCTGCTTCCTGACAGCTGTCACAGGAGGCTGAGCGAGCGGTGCAGGGAGGAGAGATGCCTGCCGCTCACTTCGCTCTCCTCCCTCAGCGCTCGGCCGGCTGTCACACTTTCTCTCCTCCCCGCTGGGTCACAGAGCAGCGCCCACCGGGGAGGAAAGAAACCTGGGATGCGCCGCTGTATCGGCAGAAAAATTGCACTTTCGGCATTTAGCCAAAAGTGCCATTTTCGGCCGATATGTTTCGGCGGCTGATATATCAGTGCATCCCTACTTATAAGACAAGCAAACCTCTGTAACCTTTTTCCTGTCTGTATTGTGCAGCATTGAATCTTACACTGAGAAAGCAGACATTCTGACTCCGATCGTTGTGATAGCGAAATATATCCCTT